GGAACAGGGTCTCTGTTGCTTCTTTGCTGCACAGGAGAGGCCAGAAATCCAACACGATAGAGAAACAAGCCTAAATCAAGGACAAGGAGGAATAAACACACCTATAGGACAAGGTGAGTGGAAGAGCAAGAAGGGGAAACCTCACGTCCAGATTGGTTCACTTTAGACACCTTTCTCCCACAAGGTTGCCACTGTCCTCTTTATTGAGGACACAAATCCAGCAGACACTTCTCAACTCTAATTTTGCTTGCTATCTCAGCAGTACCAATGTTGACCATTCCTTTATTCTTCAAACACTAGTTCTTGGGTTCTGAAGCACTAGCCTCTTAGTTTCCTTAACTCTCTTTCAGCCATTTTGGAAGGCTCCTCATCACCTAACTATGCCTTTAGTGCTGATGTTTCCCAGAATTCCACCCTAAGCCCATCCTTTCTTTATACTCTCCTTATAGGACCTCATCTATTCTATACCATTTATGAGCTGATGACCTCCAGATCTCTATCTTTTGCTCAGGTTGTCTTTTAAACCACAGATCCAGACTGCTAATAGTCTGTTTGGCTATTTCATAGGCCTCTCAAACCTAACCTATCCAAAACAAGATCCACCATCTCCTCCAAACTTGCTCTTCTCACATTCCCTATCACAGTGAATGGTATCACCATCCAACAAGATATCCATGTTGGAAAGCTTAAAGTTCAGTGACTACAGACTCTCCACTTTCCATCACCTCCCACATCCATTCAATGGCCCTGCCCTGTTGATTTTATCCGTAAAAAAAAAAAAAAAAAAAAAAAATCCTCCACCTATCTCCCCTTCTCTGATCTCTACTTCCCTGGTTGAGGCCACTATCATTTAGCCCCTGGCTCAGTTTTCTGTTACAGTTTGCTAACTGGTCTCAATGTCTCCAGTCTTGCCTCCACTTAATCTACTCAGCCAAAGTCATCTTTGTAAAACCCAAGACTATTCATGTCACATCCCTACTAAAATCCCTTCAGCAGCTCCCTACTGCTCAGTCGCACCAAGCCCTATTTTCCAGCCATACTTAATGACTTACAGCCCCCCTCACCTTCCATGGTCTCTCAATTCTCTCTGCGCTTGGCACATGCTACTCCATAGATCTAGACAACTTTTCTCCCTTCCTGCTGTCCCTGTTAAATGCCCTTCCTCTGCAGGACTCAGCTTGGATGCCCTGCTCTAGGAAGGGCGATTGGCTTCTTCCTGGAGTAGGAAAAAAGGTGGCTTGCTGGAGAATCTTCTTTTTCCTCTACCACAGCATAGTACTTTTTGGGGGCCCCATTAAGCTACTAGAGGGCAGAAGCAGTGTTTTCTCCTTCTCTGTATCCCTAGTCCTAGCACAAGGCTAGTACATTCTATCAGTAAATGTCCACAAATAAAATTAAGCACTGCTCCTGATACATAAACCAAAATGATAGGTGCAAAGATAACAAATTCCAGCTCTCTCACCCAACTGTCAGGGTGGTTTTGGAAGTTCTCAGGTATGAAACTCAGGATTGATTTGTACCCCAGCCCCTTTGAATGACAAGTGCCAAAGGCTGGATCTCTGAAGGTTCTTAGAAGGCAGGCCTCTGGTAGTCAGCATCATTCTCAAAGCCAGCTCTTATCAGGAAAGAAAGTCAAAGTGTGGCTTGCTGGGAGAAAAATGAGGACTCACAAGAGATGGATTAGAGAAACAAACAAAAACCTCCAGCATTCAGGAAAGTTACTTCATAAAGGCATTCCTATTAGACAAGCAGCAACTATCTAATGAATGCCTCTTGTGTGAGGCTCTGTGGTGGGGCCCAAGAGAGCAGCATCAACCCACACTCATCCCCCGCCAATCTAGAGGCATTTACCTGTTGGGTCCTCCAAGTAGAGTCAGTGCCATCTGACTGGCGCACACGCCTGTCATCTCCAGTCTCCGCTCCAGAGTCAACCCATGCTTTTCAGCCACAGACAACAGCTTTTTATGTAGCTCATAGGAAACACTTGGGACAACCAAGCCAGAGTCTGCAGTTCAAAAGGTGTGGAGAGAAAAGGGCAGTGATTACAGGAAATCAGGTTCACAAATGCGTGTACTCAATCCAGAATTTTGTGAAAGCCAGGACTTTTAGACTGACCTTCCCTGACCCATCTGCCTCACCTGAGACTGAGACATACTATGCAGCCCCAGAGGCTCAGGCAGTAGATGGGAAACTGAGAAACAGCTTGTTCAGGTTACCACAGAGCAGGGTTTGTGAAGCTTTGACCAAAAAGACCAAATCCAGCAAGATATATTAGGTACTACCAAGAAAAGGCCAGCATAGAGTACGTAATAGCAACCTATGAACCACATTAGAAGAGAACATGCTTGTCCCAAAGTGGGAGAAAAGCTGTCCTGGCAGTGAGGTTTTTCTTACAAGCAAACCCCTTATCCTTCCCCAGAAGTGGAACAAACATGACCTAACCCTCCTGACCCTCTGGTCCCATTATTCAATTTCAAGGCAGGATGACTTGTTCACCCCATCTACTCCCCACTTCTTCCTTGTCCTCTCTTCCACTTACCCTCCTCTTTGTAAAAAATTTCAATTAGCAACTTGTTTTCTCAAAGAATTTGTCATTTTCTGCCTATATGAGTTGAATGTGACCCAATAATCATACCGCAGGGAAAGAGTATATGGAAAATAACCTATGGCTTGCTTTAGACTACTCAGAAGAATCTTGAACATTTTATTCACCCTAAATAAAGAGAACTCTATAATGATTAGAGAGACTCACAGTCACGCAAGTAGTTGGTTTTAAAAGGCCAAAGTCTGCAACAGCTGATACTCTTTTTTTAAAAAATATTTTTTATTGATTTTTTACAGAGAGGAAGGGAGAGGGAGAGAGAGTTAGAAACATCGATGAGAGAGAAACATCAATCAGCTGCCTCCTGCACACTCCCTACTGGGGATGTGCCCGCAACCAAGGTACATGCCCTTGACCGGAATCGAACCTGGGACCCTTGAGTCCGCAGGCCGATGCTTTATCCACTGAGCCAAACCGGTTAGGGCAGCAGCCGATACTCTTGAAGTCTATCTGTAATAATAAAAGAGTAATATGCTAATTAGACCGGACAGCCAGACTACCTTCCAGATGTCCTTCCAGACGACCTTCCAGACGAAGCCAGGGCTGTGAGGGCTGAGGCAAGCCACTGTGGCTGTGAGGGCTGAGCCCCTTGAATGAATTTTGTGCATCAGGCCTCTAGTCTATCTATACTAATAATAGATGAATATACAAATTGTCCGGGACACTGTCACAGTAACAGTAATGACCAAACAGCAGGCTGCATGGGGCGACCAGGCCAGCAGGGGGCTAGTGGGGGACGACCAAATGACTGAACAGCAGGCTGCGTGGGGCGACCAGGCCAGCAGGGGGGGCCAGTAAGGGGCAACCAGG